TTTCCAGGCTCTGAGGAAGGCGAAATCCGCCGAAACGTCAGCCTGTACGTAAATAAAGAAATAAAATAACCCCTCGTGTTTGCTGAACAGAAGTAGAAAGAATTATTCAATCAATGCCGTGGTTAATAGAAAGTCGGACATGGGAGTTACTAAGAAAATTTAGTATAACTAATTTTCAAACCGAATGTCATTTAGCTTCAGTAGTGAAATAGTCAGCATGTTTTTAAATTGTTGAGCTTACACGAGTTTGATAAGCGTGCTTATTTCGACTAACTAACGTTTCGACGTCTTCGTCTTCATCAGAGCCGACGATCCGTGTCGGTGGTCCACAGTAATTCGTAGTCTCGATGTGGTGTCTCCGTTGTCGTACCGAGACGGGATATACGTGAGTGGATACCGTACGAATGAAGCATACACATCTGGCAGTATCCTTTTATACAAGGCGGTTGTTGTTGTTAAGATTATTCGTTAATAATAGTTTGTTTTTCGACGGATAATCTATCTGTAACAGTCGGTATTATGTTAGCTGGCACAAAGCCATTGGCAAAGCCGACCTTCATTTAGCCTCGGACTGAAATGATCAGCACGCTTATGACATAACTAACATATTTAGGACTGTTGTTTATTGGAACGATTGAAGAAGAGCATTTACGTAGTTATTTTTCTTAATTTACCTGAGTTTTTGGTCCACACCGTACCAAAATTTCGTTATAAAGAAGTAATCCTTTTCAGTTATCATTCATTCACTGTTTTGAATGTAAGTTGCTGCAGAAGTGTACTCTTCTGTTTAAAGCGGCACGAAAAGTTTAGCATAGCAATTTTAGCCCAAAATTTTCGTGGAATAACCAAAAACATTAGGTTTATTACGCATTGCTTCAAAACCGACCTTCGTTTAATCTCGGTGTCACTAATCAATATGCATTCTTTCTTTGATAAGCTTCAAAGAGCTTGAGCTTCTTGATATCAAAGAAGGAATACTTATCATGCATTGTTACCTCACTCAGTAATGAATGCATCGTATAACTGTATTTGTTATTTATGCACTTATTGCTTTCGTTCTTTTGCAACTTTATTTTTTTCAAAACACATTTAATGCTGTTCACCTGTAATAAGTTTGGAATCGTTGACGATTTGGCAAAGATTTTTGAATTTATCCCTTCTGGGTTTTCTAGAGCGTTGGAAACCCAGGATCAAAATTAAACTCTCATTTGTCCTACAATCTACCGTATATTGAGTTTTTCTGACGACTTTTTAGCCTTGTTTCTTTGAGATCACTGCATCTATCGTTCATATGGGTGCGGACCATTTTGTAGGTGTGTTCTTGAGCTTGTTTGCTTAACAACTACTTGGCGTTCCGTCACAAAACCTTGGGCACATGTGATTTTTGTCTCGGTGATCAATAGGTTCGAGGTTATGTTTATTCACTAGAACAATGCACCTCACAACCTATAGGCCGGAATCACTCACACCTTGCGTGTCATCACCGGCCGCTACCAGTTTGACCCAGGAATACTGTAGTGTTCTCCATTTGTTGAACCATCTACAAATGGAAGTGTGGAAGGTATTTTAGTGTTTTTCTTGACATGATCGTTGAAAACACTAACTTTTTATATCATTAGGTATTTATGTGGTTTTTTTCACTTTCTCGTTATCAATGAGATCTTTTCGGGTATCGGTGTCGGTTCCACTCACATCCTAAATTTGAGTTTCTTCCAGGAGAAAACCTTTGTGAATATATCCTCAGCTGCCTTTCCAATCGTCAACTGAAAAAATTTGAAGATAGATCCACTCGGATCCTGTACGTTTTTGTAATTTTATCACAGAACATATTACTTAATACACTTATATCCGTAAAATGACTAAAGCACTAAGTTTTCCCAAAAAATGCTGCGTCCTTCCCAGTGACACTCTCGGATAATCTTATTTAGAAAAGTTTTCAATGCCAATGATTTCGTTGCTTTTTTTTCTTTTCTGATATTTTTCCATTCATTTGTTATGACTGCTGAGTTTCACGAAACTTACAGCAGTGCTGAGGTCCGACTTCGTAACTATTAAGTTTGCAATATGACCATATAAGTTGCTAGACCTGGCTAACCTAAATACAGTCACCTACAAACCCTACCGTATTTCTGTTCGTGACAGAAACCAATCTGCTAGTTGCTTCGCGCAATTCTCGGCCCGTTGAGCACCACTTGAACAATCCTACTTAGTATCGTCTCATTTTGTTTTTTATTGCCGTTGGCATACCCGCCAATCCCTCTTCGTTTCGAGCCAGCGAATTTTTTTCTATTAGTTTCTCCCTGTTAGTTTTCTAATTAAGCTTATACAAGGCTGCCCTGGCCAAACGTAATAGGAATTCCATTCCGTAATAGAATAAGCTGGATTGAGTAGCAATAAAAGTTACCGTTATGTGAGAATCTCATTAATGCTAGAAGCTGATACGCGCCAAAGCATCTGTCAAAGTTAGTATTCCGAGTAGGTAATAAGAAGAAAAATAAATAGCGCCTAGGAAACTTACCAAAGAATCATAGGTAGGTTTTTTTTGAAGTGGAAGATCCTAAATTGACAGAGTCCATATGACCATCAGCAGTCATCTAAGCAAAGTTGGCGGCCTAAATATTTAGCCGAGAATTCTTTATCACGTTAAGGACTCTTAAAGACCAAGTCATACAGGCGACTCTGAATCACTGTTTCATCATAAGCAACAAAAAAGGAGTGTTTGGAGGAAGCTGGTGCTGCAGACAGGATAAGTAAACCATACTCGCCAGAACCAGCAGCACCCTCGAGGAGAATAGTCTTCGCATGTGTTGAAATTAGGTTTTCACAATAAGAAGCCGCTTCTTCGTCGTATTGATGAATTGAAAGAAACCTACAACTTTAAGCTTCTCCCAGCTAATGTCATCTTGACGATGATCGTTTACGTGACTCACCTTAGAAAGATCTATTTTTCCTAGAAACGTTTTCAAGAGCCCAAATTGCATTTTGAGAAAGTAAAAAATTTAAAGGCCTAGTCAGTTTTGGGGAGCAGCCTCATTTCTACGTACTGATAGAAATACTAGTAGCAACTTAATAGGCTATTAAATAGTAACAAAGATAACAGTTAATATAGAAAGTCAGAGGATCTCTTTTCACCAATGGAGCGAGGTCGAGAAAAATGTTAAAAGCACAAAATGTAATAAAAGCGAAATGTAGAGCAAATACAAAAGAATATTAGAAGAAAACAAGTTCAGAATACATTTGACAAGTATTTTGCTGTTTAATCAGGCAGTTATTCTTGGGAACAAGTGCTAAGGTTGCCACAAGTCAGAATATGGTCACCACTGTAGACATTAGTCTACTCTTATAGTTGCGAGCGAGGTTTACCATCCAAAAACTAAGTGCCTTCCAGAACAGCGAACATCCCTCACAAGCCCTGGATCTCGTCCTAATAAGTCGACTTCAGAGTGGGAATATTGAAGTCGTTAGTATACTTTTCTAGTACTAAATTTAACACCTACTATACTATTTTGTATTAAATATCATTACTGCCCTATTTCGGTATTACTGTAGTTTTTTGAATTGCTGTTAGTCTTCCATCACTACCATACACATCTATTCGACCTGGGCAATAGATGGAAGTGATTTGGTCCGGTGTCATGGCTTATGGGCATCTCCTAGTGTGATGCTTTCCTCGAGATCTCCGAGAGCGCTAGCAGTAATTATTTAGTTAACACGCCTCAATCGAGGAGGCATAAGGTGCCCCAATTGTGACGATACCATTGTCTCCACTAAAGGTCGTACTAATCATTCTCTGAGCAGACGTTCATCACGTCAGTTTGGTTAGTTCTCGTTCAACTCACCACTATGCATTACTTCTTTCCACTATAATTCTCCTAAAATGAATAGCTTTAAAATCATTGCTATCTCGTATTGATACCTTTCTCATATCCCGATCTCGTCAACGAACAGCTTTTTTAAACAAGAAAAGTCTTTGAGAAATTCACAGAACTCTATAAAGGAAAATGTTAAGCTTAATTGTCATTTTCCCTCCAACATTCCTATCATTCGTTAGTGATTCCATTCGAACCTTTCTTTCACTAAGATCCTATTTTTAGGAGGTGGTCTGGAGTTCTTCAAGCTCACTTATAAATTTCCTTATTTTACTACGAAATAAAACGGACAAAGGATAAAGCTTTTAGCGCTGATCAATCCCTGACGGATGCGTCATGCATTCAAGTTCATAAAGCATCGTATGGAGGTGATTGAATGCATATCTGGCCTTTACAATGACTCTCGATGGCCTACGGATGTATCGAGCGTTGTTATCCGCCCAGACGAGTCTGGTACCAATTTGCCGACTCCGGAGCCATGGGCGTGGGATCGATTCCATGTGTCTTGCATAGTGTCTCCGACCACTGCGCTACATGCGCCCTCCTACAAAATAATCATAGTAAAGTTAAAGTCAATCATAAATGATTCTATCGCTAAAATCCTTTTTCAGTGCCATCGTTACAATATTGTTTTCTAGCCTTAGAACACCGAACTGCTTATTATATTAGTATGGCTTTTTTCTACTATTCTGGTCCTCTGAAAATCTTATGTGGTAATATTCATACAGAAACTTTTTAAAACATTTTAGGGCCCATTCTAGGATTTAGTAGTTTTCGGTGAGTTTCATGAGTACTGGCTGACTGATGCATTTGGTATATTTAGCAATATCTTTCCAGTTTCATCGACAAGGGTTAAATAGTCGTTGTACGTTATTTGCTGGCCAACGTGTCCATAATACTTCCGATAAAGTTCAATGAAATGAGATGTTCTTTATATAATACGTTTTACTTAATTCAGTTTATTCATGCCGTCGTTGTCTTCCTTTCTGTTGCCTCGATTTCGTTTCATATATCATTCTGAACATCTTTCTATCTCCTTCCTTCTCTCAACTCAGTCAGCGATTACCTTGGCTGAGCTAAGCGGTTGCCGTTTTGTGTCCTGGTGATGCGAAATCCGATCCTCTCTAAGCGTTGTCGTTCAGCAGCCGCATCTTCGTTGCCATCCTTCATTTGCTATTAGTTCGTCTCAGGTCATTTGTATTAAATTAAGAACATTGCATTTGCCTAGAATCCTTCAACGCTTCCATTTTCGAACACCTCATAGTTTTTTTTGGTCAAGAAAACAGCCTAGTAGTTCATTTCGTTCCATCGGAACCCCTGAGAACCGAGAACCGGGACCTCGTTCATTTTCATCTCTACCACTATTGTAATTACTTCTAAAACTGTGTAGCATTCAGAAATTTTTTCGTTACATATTGACTGTATTGACCTAGATACCTATAATTTCCTTGTGATACGTCAAAATTGGCGAAAAGTAACTTATTACAAAAGGTTTCTCAAAATATTTGTATTCTCAGGGTATTCAGAAGCTTCCTCCAGGATGCTGCCGATTCTCGTATTTTTTGCCCTACCGCCGATAGTTTATTCAAAAGGCTGTGAGCTTATCACCATTCCGCTATGTAAAGGTATTGGCTACAATATGACATCGTTTCCAAACAGCTACGGTCATGAGAAGCAAGAAGAAGCAGGACTTGAAGTGCATCAGTTCTTTCCGTTGGTTGAGGTGAGTTTGATGTACTTCCACTATGAGACACTGTAGTAGTGGATTTGTGGAGTAATCTGTCATCCGAGCTCACAAATCGTTTTCAGTATGGTTGCTATCAGCACCTGAAATTCTTCCTGTGCACTCTGTACACACCAATCTGTCAAGAGAACTACGACCGACCGATTTTACCGTGCATGGAATTATGCTTGGAAGCGAAGAAACGTTGTAGTCCTATAATGCAACAGTAAGAGCTTTCTAAAAAGTCGAATCAAGAGGAAATGACGAACTAAGTTGTTATTGAAAACGTGTTCTATGGGAATTAGTGTAGGTTTACAAAGGTACATGAAGTACAGATGTGATGCTGAACCATTCCTGAATGAGAACTGAGTAGCTTTTCCAGGAGAGTACGTCAACCATAAGTGATTTCGAGCTTGATTATTGTGACAACTAATGACAACTAACTGAAACTTAGGATTCAAATAAAAGACGAATGCTGTGATTATTCATTATAGATATGGCTTTCGATGGCCTGAGACGCTATCATGTGAGAATCTGCCTATGATAAATGAACAAGCTTCTGGTAACATCTGTGCAGCACCTCCAGACACTCCAAAGCAAATTAAAAAGGTGAACGATGATGGTATTACAGTATGACTCGACGTCACGTAAATAAACGGGAGAAAATAGTATTACTTGATCACAATTTCGCTCGTATTCCAACTGGTGTACTGCTTCAGATCTCATCCGGAGCCTCGGCATATCGTCCACATGTCGGGATTTCTGTGCAGGACCTAAATAATCAGTGTGATTGCTCGTGTCGGCCACCGTTTCAGATTGTCAGCAACGCAAAGGCCATGGTAAATTTTAGTAATTTGTTGAGAAAACTCTTTAGATACCCAGAAAGCACCGAGAATTTCTCTTGCCAAAGACATCAACATAATTATGAAGACAAGTCGTTGAGCTGAGTGCAAAATAAAATTCGAACGTAAACCAGGGCATTTAACCAAAATTTAAGGATTGATGAAAAGAGTATGATTTTTTAGGTTGGAAATGTTTCAAGATGTTCGTATCCATGTAGAGCTGCTTCTCTGGACACCTCTGGGAAGAAAGAGTTGATATCAGGATGGATGGGAACCTGGTTAGAACCGTACCACTTTATTATCTGAACTTTTCCAAAGCTTAACGGTCAATTTTTTACACATTCGAGGCAGGGCAGATTCCACAGCTGCCCATAATTTTTCGATAAGAGTAATAGTTTAGGAGTTTAAAACCTGACATAGGATTATTCATAAACAAAATTTTGTTCACTCGCTTGCTCGTGCAAAGAAACAGTTCGAAGGCGCAAAAAGGCGGAGCGCTAAAACGAAACAATAGAGAGCACTAACGCCTCCGGTTGGATGAAATCCGGATCGCATCCTCACTCGAAATATGAGCCTTGACGAAAAAGCGCAAAGGACATGTTTCTCGGTCTTTAAAAAATTGAGTCTCATAATAAAAAATCTCATAATAAAATTCACTTCAGGTTGATATCTTTGTATAAAGTTGAAAGTCGAAGTTGGCTTCGGACACGTACGCTTTGAGACCAATGCTTGTTGTCACAAACGTGTCAGACCTCTTGTAACTACTTAGTAATTGGACTGTTTGGATTGAGTTTAGAAAAAAATCGAGAGGAGAATGAATTGAACATATTGGATTAAATGTTCTTTTAGGGCATTCGCGTGCTTCTTTCTGTCAGCGTTCACCTTTCTGACTTTTCTGATCGAAACGGATCGTTTTCAATATCCTGAACGACCGATATTTATGCTCGTCTTCTGCCAATTGATGGTCGCTGTTGGCTTTATCATTCGTGTCTCCGCCGGACACGAACAGGTGCGTGGTGAAGCGACGGGGATTCGATCCGCGGTGGGCGGACTGCAGCTCTGTGAGCATCACCGCCAGGGACAGTGCGGTTCATCATCGAGCTTAGTGCCAGTAAATTGCTAAAGAGATCCTAGAAATGATCGTAGCTTTCAAATTTGATTAACCTCGATCTAAATTTTCAGTTCCATATCGAATTCTATCAGTTTATTTTCATCCCAACTCTATTTTATTGCATCTGAAAGTTTCCAAATCAAAGATTTCTTAAAGTTCGGCTTTTGGTAAGGAAAATGAAAGCGTGACAAATTTGCAATGACTTCCTCCACTAGTTCACTTAAAAACAAGTGCGACATCTGCATCTAGGAGTTGTGATGTTAGCGATAACGAACTGACTGTGGAAAAAGCCTGTACAAAAGAAATTGGAGATGAACATGACATTGGAGTGCTTCTCATGACTCATTTCATATTGTCCACTTTCTCTAATGTTCTAGTATTTTACGACTTCCTCTAGCAGAAAATGTTAAGGGATTCAAAATAATCAGTTATTGATCGATATGTTTGGATTGGACCATTGAAAGAGTGCTGCTTGCTAACGTTTGTTAACTTAACGGAATTTTCTTAGGATGTAACTTCTACTATGGGAAATTTCAGATCGCGTGTGATTCGTATAAGATCAAAGGCATCGATGAGAGCAACGGCAGCCTTTGTTTTGTGGTTAGTTAGATTTTCTATAAAAAAAGACTTTGATAATTCTCGAAAAAACCAGCATCGAATGGAACTTCGAAGTCTCCAATTGATGCTCACTCTTTTCCACACTAAGCCACTTAACCAGAATGGAAAATGCCTCAAAACCATTGAATTTCGATGTGAATGAGATTATGTTTTCTATTCTCGATCCTAAATCGACGAAACCTTCGCCCGTATTTTACTGATTAGACTTTTTATTCCAGGTTTTTTTGCTTACATACTTCTTTGGAATGGCCGCTTGTGTATGGTGGATTATTCTATCGCTGTCATGGGTTTTGGCTGCGGCTTCAAAATGGTCAAGTGAAGCTATAGCCAGCTATTCGGCTCATTTCCATGCTCTTGGATGGCTCATACCGGCTGCCCAGACGATTGTCGTTTTGGTAGGTCATTCCGAATTTCTTTTTAACTTGTAAAACGCCCAGCTAAAGAGTTCTTCGGATGGTTTTCCTTCTCCAGTATGCATACGTTCTAAATCGATTAAAGGGTATTGTGAAACACAACCACTATGATGCTGAGATATTTGCAAAACTTGGACCTAAGGCCAGATTCGAAGGCGAAGAAAAATATATTTGTATTCCCGGGCATTTCGAAATACTCAGCCCACATCGTAGGTGCAATATTAGTATTCAGTTTCCACTTTATTTGCGAAGACTAGTTTTCGCATTTGCTTTGCGGATCCCAGCACTTCTTGCATTCGATTCGTTCCCTCGCACCCATTACCCACGAAGGCCTTCAAACTTTTCCGTTTCGTTCAGCTGTTATTTCGGGATTTTTGGTCTTCCCTATGAATGTCCCTCAATTCTGGTTTAGTTGCTTCTTCCCAGAAATCCTGGGATAGCCGTGTCAGAGCGTTCCAAGTGGGTTGAAGGTAGTAGACGGTTCTCGGACAAATCTCTCACCAATTTCATAATCCCAATTGACTGATAGGATTGGTGAGCCCTTAGCTGAGTTGACCCAGCAATGTGCTCATGATGATCCGTACCACTACAACCGTGTATTCGCTCTTAATATTAATATTTATTATATTACATGTGTATTTTTGCACTCACCTAAAGAACGGAATACCTTAAGCGAACTGAGTCAGGGTTTAGTGTTTTAGTGACCAATTTAACATTGCAACCTAAAGGCTTATAAAATTGTAATGGTTCCAGTGCTTAAAAATACCTTTTATAGTCATATTCTTAAATTTTTAGGTTTTTAACGCAATCGATGGCGATCCGGTATCGGGTATGTGCTATGTGGGAAATACCAACGTAAATCATCTCCGGATGTTCGTATTAGGTGGGAAAAATTAAGGAATTCATGACAAGAGCTCAAAAAAGAGGTTACCTTACCATAATAGTTTGTTTTTCTAGGACCTCTAATCATTTACTTTTCTCTCGGAGTACTGTTTCTCTTTGTCGGCTTCTTCAATTTGTGGAGGATACGAAACGAGGCACGTCTGACGAAACACCTATGTTCATGCCTTTTTTAAAAAATAACTGTACTTTCTAATTAAGCCAGGCAGCAACTAACTTTCTTTTAACCTCGGAATTTGAGGCTCTGTGCAGTGAATGAAGTTAAATTCTCCTGAAAAAGATTTCTTAGAGATGTGAAGGAAGAGCCTACGGTTTTAACTACAGAAACTTATTCAGTCAGAACCTATGCTGAGGAAAAGTTTTAAGAATTGCGGCAACGAATTCGGAAACGATTATGAAATGAAGAAAAGCTAGAGTAATCTGCAGTGAATATAAGCAGTGCACGAATTGGTTGATCTTGACTGAAGCTTAAGAACCTATGAAACTGAGGGATTTAAGCAGATTTTTATTCGGCGAACGCTTCGGAGCTTTCGCCTTCTTCACATCCGAGTCGATAGTCCTCAGCTGGTCAATGTACTGATCCAGTTGATTTTAAGATATTGATTGTTGTATGGCTTTTCATTATAGCAATTTTTTTGGTAGTATCTCCCGCGACCAACTTTCTGTTAACCTCGGCATTGATGAATAGCTCGCTATTTTCTCGATCAGCACGAATGGAGTCGTTACTATATATTATTTACCTACAGCAGCACACGTTTCGGTAGACGTAAATACTATCATACTGTTGTAAATAAAAAGGATAAAGAATAATGCTCTCGGCGTTGACCAATCCCTGAACGATGCCTGATTCATTCGACCTCATTAAGCATCTTTTAGAAGTGATTGAATGCATATCTAGCCGTTACAATGACTCGCGGTGGCCTATGGAAGTATGAGCTAGTGCTGTTATCCTTCCAGACAAGTCTGGTACCAATTTGCCGATCCCGTAGGGATGGAAGGCTTGGTGGGCCATGGGCGTGGTGATCGATTCGACGTGTGTACTGCAGCGCACCTCCGACCACTGCACCACACGTGCCCTGTGTTCTAAATAAGTATATAAAAATTTGATAATAAATAATATATAAAATAAAAAGTTCGTATGCGCTAATAAAGAAAATGGCAAATTTTCCTAGTTTCTGCAATTATAACTTCTTATATTTAAGTTCAGTAGGTGATGCGAACCCTAGAAATGTAAGGGTTCAAGACATATTCTACAGATTTTCCCCCAGAGAATCCATTAGTAGCGGACTGTTATTAATATTTACTCGTTTGCTTTACTGCCCATTCAATTCTCCGCATTAATAACGAAATTCGGCAGTAACGTTTGAGCTTTTCGAAGCAAACAGGAATTAACAGATTAGTAGTGACCAAACCTCAGTGAGTTAATTCTAATGATCCTAACATCATCTTTTGTATTTATCTGTTCGGAGATGAATTCTTCTAAGTCCAATTTTAATAGCTTAACTTCTACGATGCTGAGATACTTGCAAAACTCCGGACCGCAACAACACGTCCCTACCCTGCAATTAAAAAGAGTATGCAGTAAATAAAAAGGTTAAGACTGTGATTATACCTACAGCCTCAGCTTAACTGGGGTCACTGATGATTTAGGCTCTCCAGATCAATCCCGCTGACAGGTGATTAGCGGTGGCAGTGGTCGATAGAACTAGTTGATAGACAAGCGAAACGAAGGACCTGCATTGTGTGCTGGTGAACACTCTAGACGGCGGAAAAAGTAAAAGCGGGTTCGTTCCCCACAGCAGATACCTGTGATCCGGAGTTTTGCAAATACTTCAGCATCATAGAAGTCATATTTCGCAACATACCTTCCCATTAAAAAGAGTAGGCACTGGATAAAAAGGGTAAAATTTAATTTATTTTATTTTCATTATTTCTGCTCTTCTAGGTTCAAAAACAACATCCAGGACTTTGTAACGCTTCAAAGTTAACAAATCTGATGACAAAAATCGGAACATTCTCTGTTCTCTACACTCTGCCTGCGTTATTCGTCATTCTGTCGTTGTTCTACGAACAACATCATCGCCCATTATGGGAGCAGAGCATCACTTGCACTTGCGCCGATCGTAAGCTAACAGCAGGTTGGTAATTGTTAACGGTTGGAGATGATAGTGTTTAGAGATAATCGTTCTTGGTGGGATTTAAGGTTTAATTGGTCCAGAACTGATGTAGAAAAGTCGGTAATGATAGCCCAATCAGGAAACTCCACCTATCTGGGTACTTGGGTGACCAATTTTCTCGATTTGTCTTGACCTCAACACAATTCTAAACAGTGTTTGATTGTATAATGCTGAGATGTTTGCAAAACTCCGAACCGCAGGTATCAGCGGTAGGGAACGAACGCGCTATTGTCCTTTCCAGGGAGTAACGCGTTCACCACCACGCCATGCGGATCCTTCGTTTCGCCAGTCTCTCAGCTAGTTCTATCGATCTTTTGCCATCAGCAATCATCTGCCAGTCATATCTCAACATTATAGAAGTTATATTTCGCAACATACCCTGCCGTTAAAAAGAATAGGCAGTAAATAAAAAGGTTACGATAGTGTTTGGTTGATTGCGCAAGTTAACTGGTGTTTTCTCTTGGAGTATCAAGATAGTGGTGCCAAGATGCTTACTCCCCAGGTCACCACTACGGACAGTTATAAGTAGCGTTTGGCTGACTGGCGAAATAAACTAGTTTTTCTTCCTTGGAGTACCAAAATAGCGGTGCCAGGGTGCTCTCCAGGTCACCACTATGGACAAGCAATTATTGGGCTGATTGGAAGGATCGAAGGTGTATTTGCGTCGTTATGAGTAGGTTACTGTCAGGACTGCCGCAATATTTAGCGTTCGTTCCTTACCTGGATTTTTAGATAGAAATAAGGAATAGCTCTCAGAGTTGGTGACATTGCATGGGATGGACCGCCTTCTTCATGGTGCAGCTAAAAATCCAGAAACACACAACTATAACAAAGTAGAATAATATTGAGCGAATAACATGGAGCAGGTAACTAAGGCAAAATTTTTAGTAATAGACCGTTGTAGTTAATTAGCAAAGAAACACTCACCTCCTATGGTTTACCATTTCGCGCTGAATAGGAGGTTTTTCACAGTGTCGAACTAGGATGAACCACAGTGGTCACTCTTTCACAAGACTGCTCTGCTTGGGAAGTTCAGTGCTTACATTTGAAACCAAGAAAAATGCTGGATAGCAAGGAAAAAACGAAAGCAATATTTGTTGATAATTTAGAGGAAGAACTATAGTCCTAAGAATGCAAACTTTATGCCTGTCCAAAAAGACGGGCGACAACCTGGGAACGCTCTGCTACCATAGGTTTACCAGAGGTCCGGGAAAAAATGGTACAAACCAACAGCATGCTGGTTAAATCGTGAACATAGTAGGGTTAATCTGACCCTTGATGAATAGAGCCATTCATTATAATTTGAAATAAGACACATGAATAACATGAATGAGAATTAAAATATTAAAATAAAAGTCCTATTTTAAGGTGACGCTTCTTTTATGCTGTCAATGGTCAAGTCGTTCTGCATGTGTGTGATGGGATTGACCAGTGCAGTATGGGTGTGTAGTCGAAAGACACTCAACTCCTGGGCAAATGTAATTTGTTGCTTGGGTAAGTTCTTTGCTGTCGCTCATGAAGATAATCTTCGACTTTCGAAGATTAGTTTTTCAACTCTGAACGAGGACTTGTGATGCTGTTTCCATATCATCATCGAAAGCAGCCACTGGCCCTTACGGAACGAAGGAAAGCTTGATAACTTATGGCAAGGTTTTTCCTAGGCGATCGACGGCGAATCCTAGTATCAATCCACTTCGGTTTTCATATAGATATGTCAAACTTTTCTCAATTTGGTGGAAATTTCAAGCAGATATTCTTTGCTGTTATACAGTTATAAACGTTGACGATGACGTAATTTAAAAAAAGATGGAATGTTTGCTCGAGTATTTGAATAGTTAGACTCCCTTCTCCAGACATCACGAGAAACCGTGCGTGCCAAGCGAAATTTCCACATAACTCTTAATTTGGTCTTTGAGTAAAATCTTCTTTCCCTCTAATCTCGGAAGCTGAGCTAGGGCTTCTCCAAGTGTTCTCTATTTGCCAACTAGTGACTATGTTATTGACATGATAGCAGTGGATCACTCCTGACTGGGTTTCCGGACTGGAATATCGAACCACTTGTCATCTTAGCAGACATTTTTGTGAGGTGACCCTCCTGCTGTCAATCGCAGTCCGACTCCCAGAAATAGATAGGCTACCGCTATGAGGCAGTGAGCCACTGGGATAAATGATGGGATAAACAATGAAATTACTGCTTTAACTAAAAGGAAAACATTCTTTCTCCAAACTTTTTGTAATGGTGTGTGAATGCAAGAAGAGGATCAACAAAGTATGAAGCTTATTTCATAAAATTACGTTATTACAGTGAATACAGTAGTTTTCGCCTTCGCTCGTGTACTATCTTTTCATACAATTTAGGAAAAATGGTTCAATTCCTTCCTCTATTCCAAGAAATTCAAAAAATTAAGAAAAAACTACTGAAAAAGTAGAATCTGTCGAATTTCATCTAGGGGTAAACGTTGGTCGAACCGCTTTTACCAGAATTGTGAGGGATCTATGAATTGATTGAATCCTTTGTTTGATGAGAAATTACAGAAGGATCTCTGCCTTCTTTCCGCTCAAAAATCTTATATTTGATAGCTTCGCAGATTTTCTTGTGAGACCCGACGTCACATACTACGCTTGTCCAAGTACCTCTTCCATCCACTTCGTTGTCTTGCTTCGATGGTGTCCAGATTTATGTATGGGTACGGCTATGTGAGGACTTTGTCTTCTCCATAAAAACTATTGAATGATACTAGTCTACATGGTTCTTCTCGGAATCCTATGACAAGAGCGTTCGCAGATATTCACCACAGGTTGTCAGCGGATTTTCTGAATTGGAAGGAGGTTCTATCAGAGAATTTTTTATTCGGGCCAAACTCGTACTATGAACCATGCGCACATTGACCAGCGTCTCAAACCACTGCGCTTCACGCAAACCATAAGCAGAAGATTAGTGGAATTATTCTCTTTTTTGTTTTAGGAAATGCTCCATCGACAACGAAATATCAACCAACCGATGTTCTTTACGCTAAAAGCGATTTCTCTTCTCCTCAATTCTACAACACCGCCTTACGACAAAATCATTTATATGCCGGTATTCCGGTGCCGGAGAAACTATAAATTAGGAAAAAGGATTTTCTATGGCGAAGATTGATCGAACTAATATTTCTTTTGTTCACTTTTCAAAAGGAAAAGAATAACTTGTGGCGAACTAAGTAGCTTTAGTGATATTTGGAAACATTTGGTTAGTCTATATAGCCAGTAGTCCTCTTTAGGCATTGTCGCGCTATTTTCTTCTCATGTAGGTGCATTTTTTAAGGTCATTCCTTTAATTCGATAGAACACGATTCCTCTATCTAGTCAGCGTGCATCATTTCTTCACAGTGACATAATATCTACCGTATCACCTACATATCTGAAAGTCTAATCTAAAACCTAATGCATAATTCTATTTATGTTCTGATTCGATTCAAAGGCGTGTACACATAGGAATGAAGCTAGTGATCTCTGTTTTTTCTTTGTTTGCAGTTTTCATGTCGTACCTCATTTCTAATGGCGTACAATTCCCAGAAGAATCAATATTCATATTTATCACTATGTTTATGCATGTTTTATATGTGATTATCTTCTGCCCACCCTGGAGCTTATGAAGAACACCGTATTCTATCTCGGCATTAACGAATCGATTACTATCATGCTCATATTATTTCATATTTATTTTTTGTAGGCAAGTAGAGGTGCATTTTGTATTGTTATTCATTCGTAAAATAAAGAACCTTTCAATTTCTTACAGCAAAAAACACTCGTACACTTATGGTTGTAAAACCTTAAGTTAACAGACACCACTTAGACGAGACTCATAAAGATGTTTATTCGGCCGACGTTTCGACGGTTTCGTCTTCATCAGAGCCGATGACTCGAGTCGATGGCCCACAGTTGTTCGTGTTCTCGAGATGGCGTCCTCGTTGCGGATCGAGTTTTAAAATTAAGTGGGCTACTAATAGAATACTGAGAATGTGTCGTTTTCTTGTTCAGCAATCGCGAGGTTTTTAAACAGCATACATTTACTTCCATAAAAACACAATGCAATACAACGCTAGCTGACGTTTCGGCAGCATCGCCTTCTTCAGAGCCGCTTTTTCGTGACTTCCAATGAGGAAGTTTAGAACAGCTGATTATAGTCGCATGTGGTTGACGACTCAAATACTGAGAGTTTCTTAATAATCACTCATTGGTCATTTATTTTTAATTCTTTTTAAAGAGCCTGTGGTTTCTGATACATTAATTCCTTACACGACAACGCTGTAATTCCTATAAAACGCTGTTTAAGAAGGGCCAGTCTAGAAAATTCGGTAACGATAATCGAAACACCACCGAGTAATCTAAAACGCCAGCTAGTTCGTAACCGCCTATACGACCGTCTATGTGCAACGCAAAATTGCATAATTTGCCCCAATAGTAGAGACGGTTACTGCATGAGTTCGGGTACAGTCTATCTGATCTTTTGTAAAGTGTGCGGGGACGAATACGTTGGCGAAACAGGTAGACCGCTCTGCATGCGTATAAAAGGACACCTAGTCGGCAAACGTAAGCCAAATACTCCACTAGCCACGCATAGGACGCTGAGACGTAACAGAGAAGATTTTGAAGAAGTGGTCACAATGGTTGCACAGGAATCGAGAACACAAGCGCGCAAAGCTCTCGAGGCATTCTGGATTAATTCCATGAATCCGGAAATGAACCACATGGAAAAAAGCCTCATTATCACGCGTGATATTGAGCAGTATATGAGCCTGCTATTTTGATGAGATGGGCACAATACGATTCCGTGTGAATTCTGTGCGGTCGGTCTTCACACGACATCATTGGAAGACTCATAGAAAGCTGTGAGTGTGCAGAGCTGTTTTCAATGTGATTGAAATCTTGGTTTAGAGTTTTCTTTGTTTGGTTATGGAGGTGTTTGGCTGTGTAGATTGCTGTCAACTTGACCTTTCCAGGCTCTGAGAAAGGCGAAATCCGCCGAAACGTCAGCTTGTACGTAAATAAAGAAATAAAATAGCACCTCGTGTTTGCTGAACAGAAGTAGAAAGAATTATTAAATCAAAGCCGAGGTTAATAGAAAGTTGGACTTGGGAGTTCCTTACAAGGCAGACCAAAAAAATTTTTCGTTGGGGAATGAACTTCTCTACCACGACGTAGTATTTAGGAAAACCCCACGGAGTGGAGTAACACCTCGAATGAGAGATGCAGAAGAAACCGCTTCATGAAAAACTGTTGTTGAACTCTGTTTATATTTATATAAACAGATGTATTCTTTCTTGATAAGCTTGCACGAGGTTGATAAATATATTTATTTTCGGCTAACGTTTCGACGTCTTCGTCTTCCTCAGAGCCGGTGATCCGAGTCTATGGTCCATGCTTGTTGTTCGTCTCGACGTTGCGTCTTCGCCTTCGTGTCGAGCCAGATCTTCCTCAGTGAGCCATCTTCTCGAATGAGGCATCCTCACTCAGTGATGCCCTTTTATACACGATGCTGATGGTGGATATATAATGACAATGTCCGGTGGTAACAACTTGTATTTTGGGGGGGGGGGGGGGGGGGGGGGG